AGCTGAGATATCATAATAATGTTGTATAATCTATACATTCTTGTATTGTGGTATAGCTGAGATATCATAATAATGTTGTATAATCTATACATTCTTGTATTGTGGTATAGCTGAGATATCATAATAATGTTGTATAATCTATACATTCTTGTATTGTGGTATAGCTGAGATATCATAATAATGTTGCATAACCTATACATTCTTGTACTGTGGTATAGCCGAGATATCATAATAATGTTGTATAATCTATACATTCTTGTATTGTGGTATAGCTGAGATATCATAATAATGTTGTATAATCTATACATTCTTGTATTGTGGTATAGCTGAGATGTCATAATAATGTTGCATAACCTATACATTCTTGTATTGTGGTATAGCTGAGATGTCATAATAATGTTGCATAACCTATACATTCTTGTATTGTGGTATAGCTGAGATATCATAATAATGTTGTATATTCTATACATTCTTGTATTGTGGTATAGCTGAGATATCATAATATTGTTGCATAATCTATACATTTTTATATTATGGTATAGCTGAGATATCATAATAATGCTGTATAATCTATACTTCTTGTATTGTGGTATAGCTGAGATATCATAATAATGTTGCATAACCTATACATTCTTGTATTGTGGTATAGCTGAGATATCATAATATTGTTGCATAATCTATACATTTTTATATTGTGGTATAGCTGAGATATCATAATAATGCTGTATAATCTATACATTCTTGTATTGTGGTATAGCTGAGATATCATAATAATACTGTATAATCTATACATTCTTGTATTGTGGTATAGCTGAGATATCATAATAATGCTGTATAATCTATACATTCTTGTATTGTGGTATAGCTTATAAAGCTGATGAATGTAATCCATATATATATATATCAACAGTTCCTACTTCACCAGGGGCTCTGTCTGTTTCAGTTCTGGGAACACAATTAAAATCGTAAAAGTCTGTGTTCTTTTCTTTGAAGCAAATTATTTTAATTTTTTGCACGTGAAAGTATATATATATACATACATTATCCATAGTCCAAGTTTAGCAATGAGAGGAGTTGGTCGGCATACGGTGGACGTTGGATTAAATGAAAATGGTGATATGCCTGTCTGAGGCTTCTGGTAGTATCTGTTTTTCTCCTACAATTTACCCCGTATGTATGGCAGCCGCTCGGATTGCAGCAAACACAGTCTTACACAGTCCTCACTGTGGTAGAAGACAAGGTAAGGTAGATGTTTTAGTTTTCATATATCATTTGTATTTGGCAAACTTCAACATTGACTTAAAGTTTGAAATGTGTGTTTGTACAAACTAATTTTGTTCCAGCAGAATTTTGGAAGAGAAATATGACCTTTGAACTACACCATTTAATAAAAAACAAAACGAAATATGTTTCTTAACATCAGGAAAACGAAGCGAATTTCCACAGATGTTGAACCAGAACCTAATCAGTCATGGTAATTATTGTTTATTGGTTTTTTGAGATGTCGTAACACAAACTTCAACAGTGCTAACTAGAAAAATTCTCTAATTATACGCACGTGACAGTTAAACGTTTTGTCGCCGCTTTTCCAAAAGAGAGTGTGTGTCAGTTACACAAGAGTCTATTTTCATTATTTTGTTTAGAACTGTAATAAGCTTTAAAAAACCGCTAAAAGACCTTCATTATTTTTTGTACTTAAAGTTTATTAGTTTCGTGTGTGTGTGATCACAGAGTACAGCAAGTAGACAGAAGACAGAAAGCCAATTTCTCAGTAGTTTACTGTACAGAAAAAGAAATATACAACTACAGCATACAGAACTAGTTACTACTAACAGATAACGAATTATACATGACGATCCTAAATAAATAATCTCAAGAAAAAGGAGTTTCTTAAATACTTCAAAATCTTTTTTTCTTAACAAGATTTTCTCCGATACACACCGAAAATAGTCAACAATGTTTTTAATTTTTGAACATCTAACATCATTTCTTTACCTTGTGGTAAGCAGCGAACATCGCTCGTCCTTCACGTTCGTTATATCAGCAGTCCCGTACTGGAAATACGATTAACGTTAGAATCCGCTAAGTCGAACGGGTCGGGAGAAATAAAACCTGGAGGTTTAGATTGGAAATGATCCAGAAAATTTCTGATGACCGCATATCTCCTCCCTGGATAACGTGTGAGTTCTTGGAATCTCAGTTTTCTGATTTTATAACATGACTGTCAAGGTTAAACTCTTCCAACCTTCAGCCTACCGACGTCTGTATTCGTGGCGACAAAATGTACTTGTCCAGCAGTTACATCCCGTGTAACAACGGTGTTTAATTTTTTTTCCAACAGTTCAACTTCGCGTAATAAAGGTCTTTTAATTATTTTCCAACAGTTGCAGTTTAAACAACAATGCTCTTTAATTCCTTACCAGTAGTTTAGTCCCGCGTAACAAATGTCTTTAACTCTTTTCCAACAGATGCGTCCCGCATAACAAAGGTTTTCTGAATGTTAGTGAATCAGTTTGAATGATTACAACTTTTCTAATGACCGAGGATTGGTCAGCAGTTCTCGGGTCAGGCGCCAGCACTGCTTGGCTGCATTCTCGAGAGAGCTTGCAGACTTCCCCTTGAAGAGGTCGAGCTGGGGGAGGAAGTAATGTGGACAACGGCGACATTGTAGACACGAGATCATCTGTAATAGAATACCGTTCAGTCGGTCACCCAGACAGGCCTCGTCCCACTCCAGCTCACGGGGGTGCTTCTCACATTCGTACAGTAGTAAGGTCTTGAGATGGTAGCTCGTGACGGGGTTGCCGGGCAGATCCAGGTGGCGGTCCCGCATCGTCTTCAGGATGCTCAGACACTTCTTCCGACAGCCGCCGCTAAGCAGGCTGTTCTCAGCTTCCATGAAGTGTAACACCCAAGCGTCACCTTCCATTGAAGATTGTTTACCCTGCAGGGAAATGCAGTCCTTGGACAACAGATCAAATCCTTCAGCTTTCACTTCGGCTACCAGGTTGGGGTTGGGCCAAGGGATGTGTGGGATTGGCCAGTGGGCTGCTGACCGCGGCCAAAGTCCGCTGCAGCGGAACGCTGGTGTGATCTGCACTACATAGCGTTCTCTGATTCGTAGTTTCACCTCCGTAGTGTCGGCGACCATCTTGACCACGTCCCTGTAACTGCTCTTATCACACGCCTGAGCCACGAGCGTTTGAAAACGGCTGCGAATTTTCCGAGCGGACAGATAACCCGAGGCCGTGATGAACTCTACCCAGAGCGACATGGAACGCTTCCGGCCGTCACTGAGCTTCAAGACGGCACAGCCAGGTAAAGAGCCGTCGTCTACGAAGTTAAACACCCCCATCTGGTTGAGGTAAAGGATCACTTCGAACTCGGTCGGTGAGAGCACCTCCAAGCCATCGAACCTGCTGTTACATTCATTTAGCGAGGAGATAAAACGGGGTTCCTGCACCTCCACCTCTTTCAGCACGTCCTGCACAACTTTACAGACGTCTCGAACCGTTTTAGCGACGGCCGCTTTGCGAGCGTGCACCCGTTCCCCGTAGAACTTGTTCAGCTGGTACAGCAGTTTGGACTGGGCTGCCATCATATCTGACGGCACCAACATCTCGGCTTAATTTCTTCTACTACTACCAACTTGACTTCTGCAAGACGCAGAGTTTATGGCAAAATGTTGTTACAAGCGCAGTTGGTCACCACTAGGAGGCTCCACCGATAGAACGTGCTGCTGCCCAGTCTCCGCCCCTAATGGCTCACAACGAGCCAGCAGGATAGGTTGACGCAGCGATCACAAAGTCCCAGTCTTTGCGACGAGGAAAAAAAACTCAACACGGTATACTTCTCTACTAGCAGTGGGAGACATGGGATAACGAGAGGCTGGAGGAATATGTCGATTGGCCTACCAACGAAGGAAAAGATGGTAGGCAAGGAGGATCGAGCTAACTGTCAAGTTTAATCAGTCAATGGACGAGGTATAGCAGGGTGTAGACAGCAAACCCCGCCCCGTGGCTGCTGGGGGTGGAGCTAACCAGGTGGTCCCTGTCTGCAGAATTTGAGCATCAGAATTCTGCTTTGTCAGGATCTACTTTAAAGGGTAGAAACGCTTATAGGTAGGTTTACCGTACCCACTGTTTTAGGCTAGAATGTAGTTCGTGTTTCTGAAACTTTTATATTTTATTCTCAAACTTTAAAATCTGTATTTTGACGAAACACGTACACAGTATAATGTTTTCCATTTTTAGAAAACCACACTGTGTAAGTATTTTTAAGTTAAGTGTATATACACTGAAATAAGATCCCGTTGTTGTGCAAGTCAATTAAGATCCACATGGCTTGAGAACTTGTTAGAGTTCGTGTGTGCGATGAAGTATAGCATATCTCCAGATAAAGAGTGTTGTTAAGTTGTGTTCTTCTGGATCTGGTTATAATAAAATATTGCTTGAAGTTCAATAAAACACGATATTATAAAGATGTGTTGTAATGCTACACTAAACAAGCTTATCGGTTTCTTTGGTACATGTTTTATATCTTGAATATGTTGTATTGTGAAATTGGATAAAATTAGAGTTTATGTATCTTGTACGTGTTATATTGTGTAAATAGATAAACTTGTTTAAAAAATGTATATATCTTGGTTGTGTTTTATTATGTAAAAGGACTAGCTTGGTTAAACGCTGCTTATATATCTTACGGTGTTGTATGAGGAAATGACTGTTGTTTAGAACAATTAATTAGAGTGTTGGACCAGGATATGACTGTAGTTAGAACATTTAGGGTGTTGGAGCAGGACTGACTGTAGTTAGAGCATTAGGATGTTGTATGAGGATATGACTTTAGTTAGAACATTTAGGGTGTTGGACCAGGGCGTAACTGTAGTTAGAACAATTAGAGTGTTGGACCAGGACTTGAATACAGTTAGAACAATTAGGGTGTTGACTAAGACTGACTGTAATTAGAACAATTAGGATGTTGGATCAGAACATGACTATAGTTAGAACAATTAGGGTGTTGGACTAGAACTAACTGTAATTAGAACAATTAGAATGTTGGACCAGGACGTAATTGTAGTTAGAACTGTTAGGGTGTTGGACCAAGACTTGACTATAGTTAGAACAATTAGGATGTTTGATCAGGACTAACTGTTGTAAGAACAATTAGGGTGTTTGATCAGGACTAAATGCAATAAGAACAATTAGGGTGTTTGTTCAGGACGTGACGAAAGTTAGAAGAATTAGGGCCTTGGATCTGGACGTCATTATAGTTAAAAAAAATTAGAGTTTTGGTTCAGGACGTGACTGTAGTTAGAAAAAACTGGGTGTTTGACCAGGACTGATTGTAGTTAGAACAATTAAAGCGTTGTTTTAGAGCATGAATGTAGTTAGAACAATTGTGTATTTTTTGTTATGACCTGATTTTAATTGCATATATGTTATTGTTGTGTCAGCGAGGTCACGTGACTAGTGTCACGCCACCTATTTT